GTTTGAGTGTCCAAGCTTCCAGACCATAAAGAAGAGTAGAGAACACGTAACATCGAAGCATTCTCAGGCGTAGTTCTAACCTTATATCCCGACAACAAAGAAACTTAAGTTTAATAAATGATGTACGTGCCATTTCAATACGTGTTTTAATTTCTTTGGTTTGGTCTACATATGATGTTATCCATGTTCCAAAATATTTATAGTTATTAACATTCTCAATTGCAGTATCTTCAATAGTCAATTGGATATTTGCATGTGCAGATTTAGTCATGATCATGCATTTAGTTTTCTTTAAATTTATCTTCAGTCCGTACTCATGACAGCGTTCATTAAGGCGTTGCATTAGGTTCTGTAAATTATTGTTGTTATCCGTAGAATATATAGCTAAACTTAAATTGAGGATATTTACCACAATGAAAGGAAGTAGACTAATAAGGACGGAATGGGTTACGTTAGTAAGACTTGAAAGATGCTCAATTCTTATTTTCTCTCTATTTTTAAGAACCGGGCTCAGAAATGAACATTTAATAAATCAAACGTAAAGAAGAAAGAAAGAATCAAAGTGACATGGATATATGACTCAAAGATCACAAAGTAATGAAGCATTTCGTAATAGAATAAAACTAAAAGGTGGTGCCTAAGAAGCAGCCAAATTAAAGTGGAAGTGGGCTGGACACAAGGCAGAAGGTTTCAAGAGTGACTAAGGAAATGGGGAACTGGTAATCTTATGAAACGAAAACGTAAGGGAATCCTCAAGTGAGTTGAAGTGACGACATCCCCAAAAATTCTTAGGGTCAATATGCAAAAGACTGTGACCTGGAAGAGGAATATTGTTGGGCCAAACGAATAGAAGACAGGCTAAAAAATATGTTTTAGGTCTGTTGTAGTATTTAATTAGACGATGCATATAGGTTGTGCTCCAATATGATACCAATATAGTATATAGTAGCTACTCATAAACATTATTACCAAAAAATAATAGTCAAATTCCGAATGTTCGTTTTTTAAGTTGAGCAATAATATAAAACATTTATATTAAATTAGCATTACGTTAGGTTGATACTTTTCCTAAAGTTTTTAAAAAACAATTTATTAGAATTCCTGTGGCATAATTTTATAGTATTTATAAAGTCAGTTGAAACATTTTATTTGAATGCCATATATAAGGGGAGTTCAATATCACATTTATCGGTAATCAAATCAAGTTATAAATAACACGCGTCAATGTTTCGAACGTATTTGAACAATCCCTATATTCCGTATAAGAGAGATAGAAAAAACAGAGCATGAAAGTTACATTCCCTCAAATAAATATTGGACATTGACTTGTTATCCAAAATCACCAAAATTTTACGCACTGCTTGGACGTTCGCTACCGGTTGCTAACGCCGGCAATTATGCAGGTAGATAAGAACCGGCTATTGAATTATGCCAGTGCTGTGCATAATTCTAAATGTTAGTTTAGTATTTTACGACGCGACCTGTTATTGTTATAAGTGATAAATAATTATTATACTCTAAATATGGCCTTTTGGCGACCATTTGAAAATGCGGAAAATATTAACCCAGAACCGAATTGTGTTGAAAATAGTTTAGAATTTAAGAACAAAGACCTACATGTGCAGTGTCAACGTATTGTTTTAAACATATATGAGTGTTTAAAAAAAGAAAATGAACAAAACTCTGACAGAACTATTATAAATAGAATACGTGAACTTACCAAACTATCACTATCAACAATTTATCGTATTGTGAGGGAAGGGAACGTAATAAATCACTGTTTAAAACGAAAACGAAATAATCAAAAATTCAGAAAAATAGACGATATGGATAAGAATATTATTCGAAAAACAGTGTACAACTTGTACAAGGAAAACAAGGTACCTACACTGCATATGATCCAGGATGCTCTAAGAGAATACCCTGATTATGACTACCGATGTTTAGCGACATTACGAAATATTTTAATAGACTGTGGGTTTAGATATAAAAAATTAAATAATAGAATGGTAATAATGGAGTCGCAGCGAATAGTCAAACTTAGGCAGGAGTATTTACATAAAATTAAAGAATATCGACAGTCCAATAGATTAATAATATATCTAGACGAGACGTGGTTTGACACACACGACGTCGTTAAGTATGGTTGGGTAGATAACTCTCAGAGCTGCTGTTTAAATACACCATGTTCAAGGGGAAAGCGCATAATAATCTTGCATGCAGGTAGTGAACAAGGATTTGTACAAAATGCATTGCTACTATCTGCCAAAAACATCAATGAATCATCTGCCGATTATCATGAAGACATGACCGCTCATTTATTTGAAAAATGGTTTAAGGAACAACTTCTTCCTAATATTCCGCCCAACTCTGTAATTGTCATGGACAATGCTTCTTATCATTCACGACTATTAAGAAAAATACCCAACAGTAGTACTAGGAAAGATGATATTATAACTTTTTTGAGAGATAATAAAATACGTATTCCTAATAGAGTCCTTTTAAAGAAAGATTTATTAAGTATTGTAAAGTCCCACAGTTTTAACAAAGAATACGTACTTGACGAACTATGTAAGATACAAGGACATACTATTTTACGCTTGCCACCTTATTACTGCATTTTTAATCCTATAGAAATGATTTGGGGCATATTAAAGACGCGCTTAAGGAAACGAAATGAGTCACCGACATTGAATGCAGTCCAACTAGACAACATACGACAAGCAGTCAATGAGTTCGATAGTGAGATTTGGAAGAACTGTGTCTCCCATGTTATCGACATAGAAAATGAATATCCCATAGTGGATCGTACCACCATCCCAATTGTTATTCAGCCTAATTTGGACACCGATTCTAGTTCTGATTATAATTCTGATTAAAGGTATGTGTGAAATAGTTGTTCATGTAATCATACCTTGACTATAACTAGTGTATGTATTCATAGTCTGTTTATTAACTCAGTTCGTTAAATGATTTCGGAATACAACTTTGTCTACTATACAAAAATGTGTTTTAGTTATATGAGCCCCGTCTCAGTGAAGTTGACCCAACCAAGAAAACTATCGTTTTTGGTACAGAAATTTGCCTATTTTCTATATTTACATCTAAATTATTAATGTTACGTTGATCAGCAGTTTTTAAAGAAATATTTAGAACATTAAAGTCTTAATGGTAATTAAAATAAACTTAATTATGTTTTTATGCGTTTAATAATTAAGCATGATAATTTAGTTAATATATATATATATATATATATATATATATATATATATATATATATATATATATATATATAACATAAGATGCACATGCATAAGATGTCTTTTTCTCACTCGTGGAATTACCGCACTTGCCTGTTGGCTAGTGAAGTTATTCTTTCCATTCGTGAAAAAAGTACCACTTTATGCACTTGTTGCATAAATTACTATTATTTTAAGACGCCGCAAAATTGAGTTGTCATAATACATCACGCACTCTATCTTGAATGTCCATACACGTCGCTGCCACGCACAGTACACATTAACTTAAAATAACTTAACGTTAACTTAAATTAAATTATATTTGTTCCTAAATATGACACTTTGCACTATGTATTTTACGACCGTTTTACGTACATTAAAATTGTCAATTATATTCAAGGAATACTTGAATATAAAAATAAATGGTGCGCTCATGTCTTGTAATATTATATATTCTTTTAATGTTTGCCGGCAACAAGTTTTTTTGGGTGTTTCAACTGACTTTATAAATACTATACTAATATAGATTTTTTGGTGAATTTTGTTGTTTACTATGAGTGATGCTTTAATTTTCTTCAATAGTTAATATTATATTATTATCTTTATTACATATTTGTAAAAAAATATACATATTTTCACTAACATGTCAAATATTTTACTTTATTTTACTTATTTAAACACTGTACATTGTTATATTGTGTATAGTATTAATAACCAAGTGTGAATATTATCATGTATGTAATTGAAACTGTTAAGACAAGTTTCATGCTTTTTATTACTTAAACTTTTTTCATTTTCATTTTTAGTGACTTTACATTTCGAACTGACTAATTTACATCGTTGTATCAGTAATGGCACAAAAGTTTTCTCTTAACCGCAATTTATATCAATCAAATGAAAATTAAAATTGTATAATTTCAAGACTTGTGTTAATACAATCCAATATATCGATGTGTATGGATGAGCAGTTTGTGTACGGTGCTATCCGACAATATTTTTCCTTGTTGTTACAACTTAAATGAAGGGTGTGTGATCTTTTTCTTGTCATTTTTTCTGTCCATTATCCTTTTTCAAAGGTTGCTACCATCAGTCTCTGAAAACAAGAAATCATGATATCATTTTCGGCGTTTTCTTTAGATTTTCTTGTAAATTATTAATTTCACGAACTTGCATTATCTACCTCTCATTATTCTTCTTCTTCAAGGGCTGTATCCTAACGGAGTTTAAATAGCACCCTGGCTATTATTGTTTTAACCCCTATTGCTTTAAATAGTTTTTTTAACCGCAATAGAACAGCTATTCCCTTAATTTTTCCAGCCATGACAGTATTCTACTTCCAATACTTGTTCCACTCATTGGATTACCTAAATATTACTATCAATCTACGTTGGTAAAGTTTTTAGTTTCTTTCCTTAAAATTCTGATATATTCTTTTCATTGATATATAAGGTATTCCTTTATTAGACAGGTTTGTATTGAATAATGAGCAAAACTCTCCATGTTTGATAGTAGCCATGATAATTTTAAAACTCTATTTTTTTACTTATGTGTTTTCTTCTGTTAAAAATTGTTATAAAATAAATTTGATTGATATACATTTTCAGAATCATTTGTATATTATGGTAAAAAATAATGCACAATTTACATTATTTTTTTGTATACTTCTGTCAATATAAAAAATGCACTTTATTTTTTACCATTCTTTCATTTTCGTGCAGTTAGTTTAACAAAAAATTTACTGACGACATAATGTTTTCTTAGTTTCCTGGTGTCTTTCATTGTTGACGCTCGAGGTGGGGCCATGAGAGGATGTCGTCATTCCGGTGTCAGAGTCATCGTTCCCCCAAGATGTGCTTCTAGTCCTACAAGAATTACTTGTCGCTATGTAAGACCTCAAAGAACTCCAACTCCACCACCACTGATGGAAGGGGAAGCACTGGCTAGCAGATTGCTGGAACTTGGTCCTGTTGGCGCTAAATTCTTAGGGTAAGTTTTCAGTATTTATCAACTAAATAATTTAGAAGCAATTTATCTATTTTTATATCAATCTCTTTGTGTTGAGAAACCTTATTGGGATATGATGAGCTAAAATAGAAAAGAACAAAAGTTGAAACTGTTTTGGTAGCTGCAACAGTAGAGTGTGCAACTCGACTGCACACTCCAAAGTAATAAAACTTGTTAGGAGAATAACCAGTACGCTAGAAACTGAAATTATTTGAAGGGTATTTTTTATTTTTTTTTGGGATAATTCTTTGAAATTAAGTGTTTGTAACCAAATGTTTTTTTCCTTTTTTTATTTAATATTCTTTAAAATCATGTGTTTGTAACCAACTTAAAGTATGGGACTTACCTTCGACAAACAACTAAACTGGAATCGCTAATTTGACATTAAACAGCGCAGCGTGCATAATACGGTTTTGCGAATCTGTCTGAGAGTTTTTAAATCCATTCCCGTTTATAGCTTATACTGCGAAACCAACGAACTGCCCTTATGCCTTTGGTGACAGCAATCACTTTTAACAAATATCTTCTCGACTCCAATGCGATCTTGATACTCAACAAGTACCGAAAATTATCAGTACTTTGTTTAATTATTTAAAACATAATACTCCCCAAACCAGTTCCACGACAAACTTTTTTAAAACTTTTTGGACACAACTTTTATTAAAACGACTGTCCTACCTTCACTAGCTACTGTATACACAGGTAAATTATAATCAATTATTTTAGCACTAACTTCAATAAACTGAAATTTTGTAACAAATAGTTGAATGTAGCTATTTGCAGTCATTCCTTATCACTTATTATTACGAAATACCTTTTCAATCAAATCCATTGTACAAGATATACCATTATTATCACCATACATTGAAGGGAATATCGATAACATTCATAGTTGCCACCTTACATGTGAATGTCCCTAAAAATATGACTGCTGATTGCACTGCAACGCAAGCTGCGGCGTCAAACTAAAATATCAAAAATATACGACTATTTAATGATTTATATCTTTCTTTAAAAAAATCATCAAGAACATATTTGATAAATCCAACCGAGTGGAACACCTTCTTAATTGATAAAAATCCAACCAACCATAAAGAGTTTTAAATTCTCCAAGATGGGAAGAAAAAATCAAGACCACTTCACCAACATTTAATGTCTCTTAAAAACCCACCACTGTGTTTAATTGTAACTCTACTATCGATTAATCTCATTTTTACAGAATGCTCACACTTTGCTGACAAAAGGAAAAGACCCAATCTGAAAGGAAACCTACAGACAATCCGAAGCTTACCTGACACTTTATGTATATTATAAAATTTCATAAAATGGACATAATCGGTCATAAAATGGACATAATCGGTCATAAAATGGACATAATCTTACAAACAAATGTTCATTGCAAATTAATACCTGTTTACATCTTTATCTAATGTTACATATTAATTTCTCCCGATGATAGAAAATAGACAAAAGCTATAAAAAAAAGCGTTAAAATTTACCTTGGTCATTATCATATCATGATATGCGTGTAGAAGAATTTCCGTTTCTTATAATCTATACAAGTTTTATGTTGTATATAAAAAACAAAGGTTATGCAGAAACAGTAAAAAAAATGGGATATACCCAATACAAAAAAACGAAGCACTGCACTAAATACATATATGAAAAATTCAAACTAAAACCAGGTATACTTCCCTCGTTCATCATTAGAAAATATTAAGCATTGTGCTTGAATCTGCTTTAGTAGGTTATAAATAAAGTTAAAAACTTACGAGGACTTCTGCTTCTACCACCATTAGAGATGAATTCATTTGTCACTACTTTAACCACTTAATTCGATGTCTGTTTAATTGCTAATTTCTTCTCTATGAAACTCTTAACGTGCGTACTTAAATAATGTCATTATCGGAACTCTGATAATATTGTTCCCATCTTGTACCGGTGAAGTACAAATTGTCGCGATCTACGAGCCTTTCTCTGGGTTCGGACGGCAGAAGAGATGTGAAGCGATGTAAAAAGTTCATTCTGCGACCAGAATGAATGGAAATTTCCTAAAGGATTTTATTTATTCTCCTGCATAGATTGCCAGTTCATTTCGCTTGAGAACTCAACAGTTATTTTTAAAATCTCTATAGGCGAAACAGAAAAAAGACGAATTGAAGAGCTAGACAGCAAACAAATCTCCTTGAAAGCAGCACTCAACAGATATAAACAGACTCTTGTTGTTTGGTCTAATATTTTTAAAACACAAAAAGATGTGACTATTTTTGATTTTTATGATTTACAGAGCGATTTTTATAATCCCATATAAACATACTACAGTCAACTCCCGTTTATCCGTCGGGTTGAGTGGCACGGTTGTAGCGGATAATGAAAATCTCGGATGAACCGTAACTGGAAGTCAAATACATAAATGCAAAAAAAAAATATCGTTTCACATAAATCTTTAATTTACAATTTTCAATTTGTACATACATTTTTACACTTTTTCAAAGTAGTCTGTCTTGTTTCTGCTTCTTTGAGTGGAAAACGTATTTCCTTATTCTACGTTACACGTCCTAGTCCTCTAGGTATTCTAGAAGTTCATTTGTTCTTTGGTGGATTTCTGACCCTCTGATTTATCTTAAGAGGCCCGATTCGTCTGCAACATAAATTTGTTTGTTGCTCAGATTATTTGAAGAAAGTAACTCTTCTAACTCATCATTTATCTTCTCTCTATGAACTCCTATCTCCTTTATGCCACGGCGTTGCTTGTTTTTGTTTTGCTTGTAAAAGCAAAAACTGTTTTGCTTTTACAGTAATTATTGGACCTGCTATGGATGTACCAATGTTACGAACTTGGGTTATCCATTTTACAACACATTTTTTCATAGCAGAAGAGCTTTTTGACATTGTTGCATATGATAGAAGTATTTCCTTTTGCTTTAAAACGTCTCACACTGTCGACTCACCGATACCGTACTGATGGCACATAATTTTACGGGAAGCACCATTTTTAATTTTCCTTATGAGTTCTAACTTTTGATTAATCCTTGACACAACTTCTTTTCATTGCTGGGACATGGTACGAAAACAATAAAAAATGTAATTTAGCTTTAAATAAAACACTACCTCACAACAACGATCAACTGAAGGAACTGCGAACTAACATAAGCAAGTTAACAGATGACGATAACAGATAATGATAATACAGATAGTATTAGATAATAATAAATCTTATATAATTAGATAGGTTTTCATTAGTATTAAGAAAGCTCTACAGAGTCGCGGATAATCCGCTCATCGAATAATCCGCTCAGCGGATAATCCACTCAGCGGATAATCCGCTCGCGGATAAATGGGAGTTGACTGCATTTAAATTAGACATTCCACAAAAAAGTAGTTTCAGAACCTTGAGTATAGTTTTATATATGTCATTTTTGGTATACTTCAATAACTCATAAAACACTACATAATCCCACATAAACATAATATTTGCCTACACAATATTTATCATAATTACATTTTTAGGCCGGTGATAATTGAAGTGCCGCATTTTGCTTCACTAAGAGGTAAACAAAGGGAAATAATCGTCCTGAGATCCGACAATGGCGAAACATGGAAAGAACATACTTTGGAGGCTAGTGAAGAAGCTATACAAGATGTATTAAATCATAGTTTTGATGGAGAAGGTACAGTACCAGTTTATTTTTCATAGCTTGCTCAATTTCAACTCAGAATGAGTACTAAATGAAATAGCTTATATTTCTGACACATTCTAATATTCTTATCTTCGTCTTTGATAGAAACTGCCTTTTTTACATTGAAATTTTTATTAAAAAACTAAAAAACTATTCACCCAGTAATATACGGTACATTGCTTTAAAGAAATGTACAAAATCTTATCACTTTGGCGACAACTGTTCTTAACATATTTAAATTAAAAAAGTTTTATTTAAAAATCTTTGATAAAAGGTATATAATTAAGAAGACCATTTCCTACCCTTAAATATTTAGATAAAACCCTTAAAATGGTACACAATTTATTATGTGTTACATTAATTGAAATATCCACAAGAGAAATGAAATTCCTGTAGTTGACTGTCTGCCATGAATTACAAAAGTTTTGTTTGTTTATAAAAATCCTTTATAAAAGATATATAATTAAAAAGACCCCTTCGGGCTACATCACAAAACGTTTTAGGATTAAAAAGTCCATCATCAGTGTACTACCAGGTGTACGTGAGTCAAGCCACTCAATATTTGGGTAAAAACCCTTAAAGTGGTACAAAAGTTATTATGTGTTACATTTTTGTTAGAAAGATGGTGTGATGTTAAAGTTTTTAACAGATATCCTATATGGTAACGTAACACTCCCAATAGGGGTTCTGAGACAATGTCTTTGATCTGAGACAATGTTGCCACGCACGATATCTGTTAAAAAATTTAACATCACACCATCTTTTTAACAAAAATGTAATAAATACAAATAAAAACATAATAAATTTTGTACCACTTTAAGGGTTTTTACCCAAATATTTAGGAGGTTGACTCATGTACACCTGGTAATAAGCTGATGATGGACTTTTTAATCCGAAAACGTTTTGTGATGTTTCTTTTTAATTATATACCTTTTATAAAGGATTTTTAAATAAAACTTTCGAGATTCATGGTATACAGTCAACTACAGGAATTTCATTTTTCTGGTGGATATTTAAATTAGGCCCATGATTAAATCAAAATTGAAGTAAAGTACGTTTTAAAATTCGCATGCTTCGTTTTAAAGAGCGTATTCTCATCTGATATTATTTCTATTTACATATTTATGTTAGTTTAGTTTAAATTGGAATAGATTTTTTAAAGTGTTTCCTGTAATTCTTTTTATTTTTATATGTAACTTCAAGTTGTTGAGATGTAGTAGTACATGTTATTATGTTTATCTAATTTTTACAGTATTTATTGTCTATTTTAATAATGTTTTTGCCTTTATTAAGATGTCATCTTTGTACTGTCAGTCTAGCTTTGACTTCTAGCCTTGAGTTAGTTGTATTAATTACATATTTTTGCAGTCGATCTTTATTTATATATTTTTTTATTTTATAGAACTTAGTCAGATAGAAGATCTACACACAAGTCGCATAACTCGCATCCTAACAAATGATTTCCCACATTACTTTGCTGTTATTTCTCGTATCAGACAAGAAGTCCACGCTATTGGTCCAGACGGTGGTACTGTGTCCAGCATTGCAGTGCCGCTTGTACAAGCAGTCTTCCCTCCGAATGCTCTAACCAAGAAAATAAGAGTTGGTTTACAGGTAAATGTTTAATATTATCAGTTCAACTTATGTTAGTTTTTATCCTTCGATTCACAATCTTTTCCTTGGCAGTTTTCAAGCTCCATTGTTAAAATATAAAAGTGTTCGTTTTTGAAAATGTAAATGCTTTGATTTTTTTCTATCTCTTAGGCACAGGCCATAGAACCCGAACTCGTATCCAAACTCCTAGGTCATGGTGTAGCTGTATCGCCAATAGTAACTGTCGAGCCAAGAAGACGCAAATTCCACAAAGCCATCACCCTCAGCATGCCAGCTCCCAAGGCTCACTCTCAAGGAATGATTAACCAATATCAAGGAGCTTCCAATACAACTCTTCGACTTTTATGTTCAATAACTGGTGAGTTCTTGAAGCTTTCTTTTAAGAATAAATTATTTGTACTAATTGTTCCTCTGTTTCCCAAACCACGTTGATATCCAAAATTCTCACAATAGAATAGATGATTTATAAAAATGAACTCATTTACATGTAAATTTGATTTTATGAATAATTATTTGCTGACTACTTTACAATAATACAAACTTTTTCACCAGTTTTAAATAAAAATACAATTCCAATCTTGTTACCTGTCCATTAAATAAAATTGCATATTAATTTACAATCGGAAATATAATTATGATTCTTCAGTTATGTTGGAGCTACGTACTCTGCTCATTATGATTAATCTCTGATCATTACTATGATCATTAATCACTGCTTCAGTGACTATTGGCAGGTGTTATTTGTACTTATGTAACGTCAATTAATCAGTTTTATTTGTTATCCTAAAATTTGTATTTTTCAAGAACGTCTTCACAGTTCTATGCCATATTATAGTCTATGCTATTCTATAATTCTTGGTTTAATATTGCTTTGTTAAATGATAAACATTTTTGTGTTCTTTGTTTAAAGTTTAGATGCTTTGATTTGATTACATTTATTAATTTGAAATATTATTATGTTAAGAGATTTATTTAAAGGTAGAGAGAGATTTTGTCGTTGAAAGCACTTTAGAATTTGGGGGTCATTGAATACTTATGTGTGCCACTAAAAAGAAAAAAAACGGAATGTGGTACTCTGGGAGTGACTAAGGTGGAGAAGCGTAGCTTTCTGATCGTCTGTGCATCAAGCGGTTGTTTTTAATTTATTTTCATTTCATTCGTTTCAATTCACTTCGATTGGATTCGATTCGCTTCGATTCAATTCGATTTTATTTTATTTTACTAAGAAATACAGTTGGAACTGCGTTTAATACACGAGGTAGTGTGTGGTCGTACGATCTGTCGTTTCATTTCTTTTCATCATCGCTCTTATTTTGTTTTTATTGTTTATACCTCCGTGCGATCTATTTCACCGATCAGTGCATTCCGTCCGTTCAGAATCTGAGTTTGATCGGAAACAATAACAAAGTAAGTTTACTCTGGGTGCCTGGATACACTGGTATTGAAGGGAACGAAAAAGCGGACCTACTTGCCAGGAAAGGGACAAAAGAAACATTCGTAGGACCAGATCCTTTCGTTGGTAAGCAAGAAGCAGAGCCAAAAGAATAATATCTGACCTGGTGGATCAAATGAAACGTAACCACTTGTACGAACAAACAGGTCTCAAACATATGTATGAATGCTTTTATACATGAACCTTCGATGAAGAGATCCAAAGATCTACTATGATCTGCGAATTATCGTAGGTCTCCTGCTAGGACACTGTCGCCTCAAGGGGCACATGAACAAAATCGGACGAGACGGCTGAACACGTTTTGTGCAACTGCCCAGGGTTGGATAGGATAAGGATCAATACATTTGAGCATTATCAATCCAAGCTCTAAGACTTCGTTAGAAGTGTCATCTAGGGCCATTACTAACCTAACTACATTTCATAATTGTAGTGATCTCCCTAGAGCCACAAAGAACTTAAAAATTCGACCCAAATGCACAATAGCAGTGTATGTACACAAATCTCTCTCTAGTTCGTGTCCTTCTTGTGGAATATTGTGCGCTTAGATATTTCTTGGCCAAAAGTGTAAGATTTCTGACTGACCGGTCAGCGCATCTTCTTTTTTATTCATTCTCTGGGCAAACTGTGTACTAGTTCCTTCCATTCTCTTTTATTTCTTACTCTGTTTTTGACACCATCTTAGTCAAATCTTAGCCCATATTAGTCAAATTTCTTCGTGCTCTCGTTGTAGTTCTTTCATAATTGTTTTCTGGTCTTTATGTCTTTCTTTGTTCTTTGTATTCTTGTATTAGTTATTCTGTCAGTCCATAAATTTTCAGGATTTTTCCTAAAGATTTATTTAGAAAAGTCTGTAGTTGTTTAGTTGTAGTTTCGGCCTGTTTCCATGTTTATTCTCCGTAAAGTAGTATACTTCTTATCCAACTATTAAAGATTTTAATATTTGTTGTTTCCGATATAGTTTTTGTGCCAAATTTTATTTAAAGCATTGAATGCAAGACCTTAATTATTCTTGTCTGTATATTCGTTTTTGGACCCCTTGCTTTCCATAATTGATCCCAAATATGTGAACTTGTCTATTTCTTTACTTCTTACCGGTTTTTGTTGTTTGTTTAGGTTTATATGATATCAATATTTTATTATTTGGGTGGTTAATATTTTTAAGTTTGTCAGTTGAGTAAGTGTACACCTACATTGGAACCGTATTTCTCCCGATCCGATATCTGGCGACGTCGGCCGACGTCGGATTAAAAACAAACTCAAGGTATTAAATCAGAGTGCCTATACTGCTTCGTCATGTAAGCAGTATAGGCACTATGATTTAATACCATGAGTTTGTTTTCAATCCGACGTCGGCCGACGTCGCCCGATATCGGATCGGGAGAAATACGGTTCCAATGTAGGTGTACACTTACTGTGTAAAATTGACAAGTGAGTAACTTCTGCAAATTCCAGATCTTCCAACTGTGTGAATAAGTTCCATTTGATGCCTGTTTGATGGTCAGTTACTTTTCTCATTATCAAATATATCTTAAGAAGCAATAGGTAAGGGATGGTATACAACCGTATTTGACTCCACTTTCTAGGACTCAACGTCAAAACTAGATTTACCGATATTGTGAACACGGCAATGTTATTGTAGTCTGGCTACGTGATTCTAAGCAGAGATGGTATGGAGAACTTGATCATAAAAATTAATATTATAGCAAGAGTTTAGGAAAAAATTTTTGCGTTAAATAAAGACCATAACTGGCTACGCATTTCTTGAAGTACTATTGAATACTGAAAAATAATGGATGACTGTGGCACATATCTTTAGAAAGAATAAAAAATTAAAGACACAGAGAAATAGAGAAAGAATAGGAACAGGACTCGTGCAAATAAAACGTGATGAATTAAATATTAATTTGATAGATGGTGTAAGGCAAGATAAAGGAGACTCAAATAAAAAACCGAACAAGACTAATGACAAGAAAACATTGCCATTATCTACAACTCCGTGCCTTGGGGTTGCATATTTTGCGTTAGAATACGTTGCAGTCACTGTGAGTACCGGTTAATTAGACATGAGAATTTCTCTTTTGTTTAATATAAAAAAATTCAAAAAGGTTTTGCAAAGATGATCTTTTTGTTGCCATCCTCTTCTGTACATTACGTTTCCCTAGACATAGATATAACTGTTAGTTTATATGATTATATAAAAACCTTTTTTACCAAAAATGAGTTCATTTTAATAACTACTTTCATCGTATTTACCTTTTGGTATAACTATTTGAACGAAAGATATTATTTTTAACTAAGACACTCTTCTTTCAGAGCACATTTGTACTAGCACCTGTCTAAGCATTTTAAATTCACTCGTGTCACCAAGCTTTTTGCTCTTTGTTTTTGATAAAACTTTTAATTTTAATAATATATTCGGATTGTGTATTAACATTTTAAACGATTAATTTTTATCAGTTTTTTAAAATATATACTTACTGGCTTGACACAGCTTCCCGTTTGCTTCACATTGCAAAAAAATTTATCCGTTTGTATGTTGGATGCTTTATATTTATATTAGTGAGCTTCGTAATCATATATTTACATTATTTAAGGTGTTTGCTGAAATGAGAAAAATGTGATCCCTATTTTAGAGAATTGATTCAAACAAAACGTTTGTTATTTTTTGAAATTGTGAATATTCTTTGTGATGTTTTTTGCCGGCTTTTTGTATTTGCAGTATTGTTTACTATCTTTTCTTTTTCTTTTTGCTTTTTATTGTCAAAGTTATAATATATTTCTCTTTCAATCTAATTTGTGTGACGTTCAGAAGTTATTCAGAAGTTGTAAAAATCTGAATTATTTATCAGACTCTCAACTGATGATCTTAGATAATACTCATTACTATTTAGTTAATATGAAGAATTGTTTACTAGTTGGTTAATATGAAGAAATTTGTTTAATAAGATGATTTTTAATGGACTGTTGTTTCATAGAATAGGATATTGTAGTTATTAATACCACAGTAGAAGAATTATAAGAGTATCACAGTAGAAGAATTGTTTCGCGCTGCAGCCGATAGAAAATATTGTTTTAGAAAATTGTAAACATGATGATGGCCAACTTCTGAATATATTAGCCCATATATTAGTCAGCACAAGTGTTCCACAGTTCTATGTACAAGCTAATTCAAGATATTTGGCGAGAAGAAACAAGCCAGATGAATGGAAAGAAGGGGTTATTGTACCAATAAACAAAAAAGGAAACAAATAGCAATGCAAAAAATTAAAAGCAAAAATTAATAATCAAATCTTGCCTATTGTAAATGAACGATGATGCTGTAGAAAGTGAAAGTACTTGGGCAAGATTTGATTATTAAATTTGTGCTCGATATTTGCCTTAATTTTTCAAAGTTCATTTATTCGAGCATTCAATCTTATATTAAAAAGCAATGTGTTAACTTAATAGCACTCCTAAACACCACCTACAAAATCCTTGCAAATATCCTGCTAGAAAGAACCAAAACATATACAGAAGAAATCTTTGGAGATTATCAATGGGGATATAGACCGGGCCGCTCTACTATTGACCAGATATTCCCAATAAAACAGATAATGGAAAAATGCTGTGAGTTTGATCGTGAGCTTCATTAGATGTTCATAGATTTTAAAGAAGCATTTGATAGAGTATGTAGGGCCAGACTGTGGACAGTGATGCAGGAACTTGGCTTTCCAAAAAAACTAGTCAGGTTGATACGGATGTGTATGGAACGGTTACGATGTAAGGTGAGAGTTGGACAACAATACTCGGAGACATTTGAAATAAACAATGGACTAAAACAGGGAAATGCACTTTCACCACAACTCTTCAACTTAGCTCTGGAGGACATAATCAGAAGTGCAAGAATCGAAAAACCGAATACAGAA